GCTTGTCGCTGCCATTCCTGAGGGCGTCACGTCTCGTACAGTGCGGGCGCAGCCACAAGGAACCCTGGCAAGGAACCCAACCCCGAGAACCCGTGCGCGAGGCGCGCCTGAGGGGAAACCTGGAGCACCCTGAACGCAGCAGCTCCTTCGACGGCTGCGGGAAGTCACCGCGCAGCGCGAGGAGCGAAGAAACTCAGGATACCCTGGCGAAAAGCAGATGGTTTCTGGATGCGGGCCCCCACTGCAATCGACTGGCAGTGGCATATCCAAACATGCCGATGCTGGCCGACGCTCCTTGGTGCGAACCTGGATCTACCAGGGGACATCCAGAGCTAGATCTAAACGAGCCCCGATGCTGCTGCTTCGTGTCGTGTCGTGTCGGCGCAGCGGCGACCACACCGCGGGTTTGAAAGGTTAAACGCCGACAATGTAGCCCAGAATGGGCCGACATAAAAAGATACTGGCGATCGGAAAGCGGCGATCGCTCGCAAGGCTGGACGATACGCGCGGTGTCAGAAACCAACGCCCCAGTCGTCAAGGTGTGAACCTGCCGCACACAGTGCACGACCTAACCAAGAAGAGAAATCGGCATGAACATAAGCCTTCAGAGGGCCGCGCGGATTTCTTGAATTGGCGCTGGCCCCCCCCCCCTCACCCTGGCGCGCCAGGGCCGGGCCTTCAACAGTTTAGGTTCATGTCTACTTGTTTCTTCGATTTCTTCTTCTTCTTCTTCGTCCTCTATCCCTTCCGCCATCCTGGGCAAATTCTTCCGATGGCTTCAGACCCGCTTCCGGGATGGCCCCAGGAGGAGTCCTCCTGCCCGCGCGCCGCTCGCGAGGGTCGACATCCTCTCCTGCCGCACGGCCTGCGCCGGGCTCTCCTCGAACTGGGCCACCCGAGCGGTGGCGCGGGCTGACAGCGCGGACGCGGTACGACAGGTTCACGTCGCGTTGACGCCAGCGTTGGCGTCTCGCTGTCAGGAGACCACTGTAGGGAGGTCTTCGTCACAACGAGTAAGGGCAATGCTGCCCGATTGAGGGTCCATTGAGCCAGACGTGGCCAGAATCAGGCCCATGGTAAAGCCCTGTTCAGCAAGATTAAGCGCAGTTGAGCGGGATGATGCCGGATTGGATCGATCTTCGACCATGGATCTCCCAGCACCAATGCTGCATTTAACCTCCCAGGAGTTTAGGTGAGTCTTTTTTGGGAAGTTCGGTATAGCATACAGTGGAGGCTAGTCCACACGAAACCGACCACTAGAAACCCAACCCTGAGACTCAAGGCGGGCCATGGATTTCTCGTGTGGGAACGTCACGCCCTCCCCAGCAAAACCATCGAGACCCAAGAAACCCAGGGCACCCTGGAGGCAAGCAGGGCGTTTCTTGGCATGGGCCTCCACTGTGTACCGCCTCGGCTTATTGGGTCCCTCTACAGGAGGAAAATTCAAAATAGGCAAAAAATAGTCTGGGGATGATTTTTTAGCATTTTTCCACAATTCTTGAATATTTTTTGGCTATCTTGAATTTGTCCTCGAAAATCCCCCTGTAGGGGGACAGGCCCGACTTAATGCTAGCCTTCGGTGGCCTTGAGCGGCCTGCAGTGAACTATTAGGTTGGCGGCCTCTTGTGGCCGTGCGTCGTCTTAAGTAGCAGCCTCTAGCGCGGCCATTGTTCTGCCTTTTAGCGGCCTTTGCCGGCCTTCAGCGGCCCTCAGTAGCCTCTAGAACAAGTGCAGCGAAGTGCACTCCGGACTTCGTAGTGCAAGGGAGGGGGTCACGCCGCTCCCAGACGAGCAGCTCTGGACCACCCCCCAGACCAGGCAGGAAGGGCGGCCTTCTGCCCAGACCCCACTGGATGGATCCCTCCAAGACAACTCAAACCAGATCCCCCCCCAATGTGACCCCCCCCTTCGCAATGTGTTTCCGAAAGAGCCACTTGAAGGAGCTGCACCTTCACGACGTGTCGGGCCGGGCGAGAGAGGGGGCTAACAAAGGGGGGGTTTAAGAATCAGCTCGCGCAGCTGATTTTCCCGGCGCCTCCCGGCGCCGGAGGCGGCCATGTATCGAGGAATGGGCCCCTCGGTGGGGCCGAAACCAGCTGCATGCAGCAGATTTCGTAACCCCCCCTTTCCCTATCCCCCCCTTTCGTTCGGCCCGAAACCACTTGACGGAGCTGCACCTTCACGACGTGGCGGCGCGCACCAGGGAGCGTGGCACGCGGGGCGCGGCCCGCCGCTGCGCAAGCGGGGGGGGGGCTCTAGAGAGAGGCAGGGGGGCCCTTCCGCGAGGGCCCCTGCCTCCTGAGAGGCCCCCCTCTTACCAAAGTGTGGCTCTCGCCTTAGCGCCGCGCACACTCGTCTTAAACATTCGCAAGGGTTTCACGGACTGAAGGCGGTTACTTTTCAAAATGTGGCTCTCGCCTGAGCGCCGCGCATATTCGTCTTAATCATTTGCACGAATTCTACGGGTCCCCATGGTCAACGTACCAGAAATGGCGTTTTGGAAGGATTCAGGCTGTGCGCAAGTTATGTTGAATCGCGGTGCTCAAGTCCCAGGAATGGCGTGCTGGCGCGATCCAGGATCGTCAAAGACGCAACAGACAGGTGCTACAGTGGAGGCCAGTCCACAAGAACACCCCCACAAGAAACCCAACCCTGAGACCCCAGGACGTCCATCGACTTTTGGTGTGGGAACGTCACGCTCGCCATGGACAAAACCATCGAGACCCAAGAAACCCAGAGCACCATGGGGGCAAGCAGGGCGTTTCTTGGCATGGGTTCCCACTGCAGGGGCACGCTCCTATCCCTATGAATGGCAACGCCGCGTCTCCATGCCGATCTCAAGGACCCCCCCTCAATTTCCGAGGGCGACCCCCTAAGACTGTCATCGCCGCATGGCTTGCCAGTCTTAGGGATGGGGGTGAGCTCGAGGCCGGCTACCCCTAGCGTCTCCGACGGCCGCGCCCCTCGCGCCACCGCGCCGTGCCCGCCGGGCACCGCATGAACTGCCCGGCCTTGAGCGATCGCAGCTTGCCCATACAGCTCCGATCCCTGGCATCGACCGCTTCTGGGACAGCGCCGGCGCTCCGTCTCGGTGGCTCAAAGATGGGGTCCTGAGGGATGGGGCCCGAAGGACGAGGTGCCTCAAATGATGACAATCCACCCTTGGAGCCTTTCTTTCCTTAGACCCCCATCTTTGAACTCCCGACCATCGAGGACGCATTGGCCCAAATCGGCACCAAGCTGGGTCGGCCAGGGCACCGCCGCGAAGCCCTGGCTGGCCGCTTGGTAGCTCCGTCGGACCGGGCCAACGGAGGGCGGGAACGGGGAGTTGGTCCCACGTGGTTCCCAAACCCGATTCGGTGGCAACTCATGGGATCCCCCCATGCCATCTTGCTGGCTCTTGCGAACGGACTCTGCCCGACGCTTATCGACGCGAATCGTCGCTAGCCGAGGCTAGATCGACGCTGCGCTAATCGACGCTACGCTAACCGACGCTGCATCGGGCTTGCTCATCGACTACCAGACGCTGGCGCACGCTAGTGCACTCTAAAAGTTGAAGTGCGACTACATACAAATCCCCCATGAATTGCGACAGGAAACCTGGGTCAACCTTGAGGGCAGTGGCTGGCCTCCGCCAACACTGACCATCGTTACGTGAGCCCCGATACAACGTGCGAGCGCCCAAGCCATGGCCATCCGCCGCACCGACGCGGCGAGAGCCCGCCGCCGAGGCCGGCTTGTCGGAGCACTCTGCGCGACCAGCTCGTCTGCGCGCCCCGCACGCTCCCAGCGGTGCCTTGGACGCGAGAAATGCGTACGAGAAAGATTGGCACGACGCCCAGCAACAGACTGTGTCCAAAACCGACAGCGACGCTGCTACACAAGCAGCCTTCTGTCTTGAATAGACAACGCCCGCGGTGACGACTGACGAGGCATGCTCAAGATGAGCAAGACATGCTGCCGGTCTTCGCACCTATCCTTTCCGTGCCCACCTCGATCGCACTGAGGTGCCAGGCGGGCTCGCGCGCCCCCCGAGCCGTCTGGTCAGCCAGCCGCCGCAACTTCCGCGGCCGCCAATGCCGCCCTGACCTGGGGCGGGAACAATGGGCTCCAACTGCCGGAATCCGCGTGGGACGCTCGAGCACACGGAAGTCCCAGAGCCAGACTGCCCAGGCCCAGGATGTCCGAAGCCTTGGTGTGTTCAACCAGGTCCCCCCGCCTGTCACGACCCTTCCCCCCTACTCTCTAGCTTCTTACCCCAGGTTTTTCTCGACGGCCCCCGGGCCCCACCGAGGACACCCAGGAGCAGAAAATTCGCCGGCCCAGCTGGCCAGAGGCGTGCTAAGATTTCCGGTAATTGCGTCCCCGACGAAGAGTACCTCAGGCGGTCCCCGGCCGGGTCGGGTCAGAGATGGTGTTTCTCCTGGGTGCCGCCCTCGAGGCCCTCCAGAGAGCCCCAGGAAGGGCCAAGAAGCCCCCCAAAGGCCCCCAAGGTAGAACAAGAGGGCTCCGAGATGCCACAAGATCGCTCCAATATGCCCAAGATTGCCCCCAGACGCCCAAGAGGCTTCCAAAAGCACTCCCAAGAGGGCCCCAAGAGGTGAAATAAATTGATTTCCCTTGGGTTTTGGACAGATTTGGACGTTGCCCCCTTTTCGGCTTCCCGACGCCTCAAGACGGCCCAAGAGGTCCCCAAGATCGCCCCAAGAGCGTCCAAGAGGACCCCAAGAGCGCCCCAAGACGGCCTGAGAGGGCTCCAGGACCGCCCAAGACGACTCCAAGACGGCCAAAAAAGGCACCAAGAACGCCCCCAAAAAGGCCCCAGAGGGGGAACACGAAACAACATGTCGAGCCCTCGGTCAGAAGCAGCCCCCAGGAGGTCCCCAGAGGTTCCTAAGAGGCCCCAAAAGGCCCCCAATAGGCGGTCCGGAGACCGCCAAGAGGCCCCCAAGAGGGCTAAAAAGGCTCAAGGTTAAGACGTCCCCGCAAGCGTCGGAAAACTCACATGAGTTTCCTCTGCACTGCCTCCCTGTGCGCAATAATGGGCCGGCGGAGTGAGCGAAGCGATTAAATAACACCACGAATCCGTCCGTTTGTTTAAAAAGCGTTGGGCTTCCAGGTTGTAGATGAACAAACGTCCGCGCAAACGAGCAGGATTTGTTTTCGAACGCCAGGCGCAAGTCAGTAACTCGATCGTCCTAGGCTGACCCGAACTGGCCCCAAAGATAAGCGTCGGACCGGAAGAAGGCGACTATGGCTATAAAACTCTCCACGGCTCCGCAGCTGCACGAAGGCCGAACGCGACGGAACAGCCAGGAAGCGATATAGGGCGACGAGAAGAAGGAGGAAATGGCATGAACATGGGAAAATTATGAAGACACAATGAATGGTGAGAAACCGTTGACAAAATGTCCTCACCGAGAGCAACTCAAAGCCCGTGCCCTCGCCGACGGCAGTTTTCCCCGACAAGAGTTGGGTTGCTGCGTGGGGGCTGCTTCTAGATGAGCACACAGGTGTTCCAGGGCCACCCCGCCCCGAACGCTAAAGCCCATTCTGCAGCCACGCCTGGGGCGTGGCCTGGGCGTGGCCTGGTCGGGCCGCCTGGGCGCTGGGGGCCGGCGGAAGCAGTGAAAAGGTATGTGTGTTGAAGCGCATGACTGCATTTCCTTCGTGAAGCCATGTTGGATCGTTTACGGGATCTCCCCGAAGCCGCTCTGAAGCCCCAGTGAGGTTCGAATGCCAACCTCCGCCCACGCATTTCCGCCGCTCGTCGTTTCCAACCTCCGCCCGCGCGCGTCCGCTCGCCACGTCCTGTTCGCCGCTCCTTCTAATCCACGTGTTCCTCCTCCACCTCCACCTCGACCTGCACCTCTTGTTCCTCCTCATCCACAACCTAATGTGCCTGCACATCCGCCTCCATGTTCTCCGTACCTCCTGCCCCACCTTGTCCCACTCATCTTCGCCTCCTTTTCCTCCTCCTACCCCCCCTCCACCACTCATTTTCATCCTAATTTGGGGCCATCCGGCCCCAGACGCGAACGGCGTGGATCCTCCGTCCCTTCGGGGCCCCCGGGTGTCCAGGCGAACCTCATGAGCACTCACGACTGTGCTGCATACCGCATACAAGCCCTCTCCGCCCCCCTCCCCCCAACCTCCTGTAGGAAGAGGAGGAGGAGGAGGAGGAGGAGGAAAAGAAGAAGGAGGAGGAGGAGGAGGTCCTCCTCATCATTGTGCGCCTCGTCACCCTCGCCCACGTCCTCCCACGCCTCCACGTCTCCCGTCTCCGTCGCCCGGGCACCTCGGGCCATGTCGTGAACGAGAACCCCCATCGCGGCCTCCCCAATGCGTTCTCACCGCCCTCCCGAACTACCGCTCCTCACCTCTCCTCTCATCAAAATCCCGCCTCCTCTCGGTTGATGGACAGAATCCTGCACATGTTTTCCGATTTTTGTTTTCGCCCCCCGCGCCCCCCAATTTAATATTGGCAGGCTGTGGCGCGATTTGCCGATCTGCTGACTGGCCTAAATCCTGCACCCCGCGGGCGCTGCCAATCAACATAATCGGGGCAGGGGGGCGCGTGAAAATTTGCGCCGTCGCCCAAATTGCGCGGCCGGTGCAGGATTTTGTCCATAAACTGCTCCGCTCTCGGAAATCCCATTTGGCACCGGCGCCATCCCCTCCCCGCTCTCGGAAATCCAACTTGGCACTGGCGCAGTGTAGATCGGCGCTCGGGGCCGCGATCCGCAAAAAATCGCAATGTAGATCTACACTGGGGCGCTGCGGTGGGCGAAGGAGCAATGCGCAGTTACACGATAGGGTCGAACAACGTTCTACGATGGACCCACCTGCGGTCACCTGCATGTCGATTTCGCAAATGGAAACGAACAACTTACACGAGTACAATATTAGTGTAGCTCTGGGAACCCAAGACGAACCTACATCAGCCAAGTGCGAATGTAGATCTTGGACACGCGCCCCGCCGAAGCCCAGTTTACTCGCGCGCTAATGTAGGTGAACGTTGGATAAACAAAGAAGGCCAAACAACAATGTAGATCTACACGAGGAGCACTAGAAACAGCTAACAGCAGTGTAAATCTACACTAGGGGCACAGGAAACAGCAAACAGCAGTGCAAACGGCCCAAGAGGGCCCCAAAACAGCCCAACAGGGCCCCCTGATCCCCAAGAGGCGCCCCGAATTGCCCAGAAAGACTAAGACTACCCAGGAGCCCCCAAAGACGGCCCGAAAACAGCCTCAAAAGACCCCGATGAGGGCCCACTCGGAACCCTGCATTAGTACGGCGACGGTCAGGAAACAAGTACGTACGATCTATATATATATATATATGTATATGTGTATATATAGATGTATGTATGTCAGTCTGTATGTATGTATGCATGCATGCATGTATGTATGTGTGTATGTATGTATGTATACATATGTACATGTATGTGTATACATATATGTACATATACGTAATACATATACGCATGGATGTGTATATATATATGTATATATATATATATGTGCTCGCCACCCACCCCACCCCCAGCACCCTGGAACGACGGACTGGGTGGGTGGGGGGGGGGCATCCTCCTCATCTTCCTCCTCTCCTCATCCTCATCTCCTTATCTCCTCATATTATCTATTCTCTTCTCCTCCTCCTCCTCATCATCATCATCATCCTCCTGCTCCGCATCCTCTGCTCATCTCGCTTCCTCATCTTCCTCATCTTCCTCCTCACTCCTCACCTCCAACACCCTCGTCTTCATCATCATCATCTTCCTCCTCTCCTCATTATCATTTTCCTCACCATCTTCATTTTCCTCCTCCTCATCTCCTTATCCTCCTCATCTTCCTCATCCCCCTCATCCTCAAGCGATTGGGGCGGGGTGCGAGCATATGTTATTCGTTGTCCTGCTCTTCCGCCTCTGCTTCCCCTTCCTCCACGTTCTCTTCGTTTTCCACGTTGTGCAGTGGGTTTCAAAGTTGCCGTCAGACAGTTCGCCATGACCTGCCTTCTTCTCACGCCACTCCTTTTGAGCATGAGCGAGAAAAGCGAGGAGGAGCTTAAAAGAGGAGGAGGAGGAGAACGGTAGTGGATGGAGACATCCCTTTTTGGGATGCCCTACGAGCGCACAGAGCCCCCGACGAGCAAACGCTGGGAGCACGCGGCAGGGGCTGGCCTTGAAAGCGTTGTGTTTTCCAATGTGTCTAACTTTTCCTAGAGACTACCCCAATGAAGTGCGTTGTGATTTCCGGCTGTTCTGGCTTTTCCAGCCTTCACCGCAACGAAACCATTGAAACACGCTGTGTTTTCCACCGTGTCCTGCTTTTCTCGCTTTTCTCCGATACTCCCCCATTGGAAAACGCTGCGTTTCTGCCTGTCTTGCTTTTCCAGCTTTTCCCACAGACTACCCCATTGAACAACGCTGTAGTTTCCAGCTGTTCCAGCTTTTCACAGAGACTACACCATTGAAAAACGCTGTGGTTTCCAGCTGTTCCTGATTTTCCTGCTTTTCCCAGGGACCCCCCATTGAAAAACGCTGTGTGTTCAAGCTGTTCCTGCTTTTCCCGCGCATTACCCTGCTGCGTAGTCCTTGGGAAAAGGGGGAAGAGCAGGAAACGCTGGGAAACATAACGTTTTTCAATGGGGTAGTCTTTGGGAGAAAAATAGACAAGCACAAACAGATGGAACTCACAGCGTTTTTCAACTGTGTAATCTCTGGGAAAAGCTGGGAAAGCCGGAAAAGCAGGATAGCACAGCGTTGTGTTGAATGGGGTGGTCTCTTGGAAACGCACGAGAACACAGGAGCAGCTGGAAAACACAGCGTGTTCCAATGGGGGAGTCGGAGGAAAGCAGAAAAAACAGGAACAGGTGGAACACACAGCGTTTATTCAATACGTAAGTAGTCTCTGGGAAAAGCTGGAAAACCAGGAACAGCTGGAAAACACAACGTTTTTCAATGGGGTAGTCTCTGGGGACAGCTGGAAAAGCAGGACAACGCAGCGTTTTTCAACGGGGTAGTCTCTGCGAAAGCTGGAAAAGCTGGAAAACGCAGCGTTGTTCTTCAATGGTTTCGTCGTGGC